GAAGAATAGTTGGCCATTATAGGACCTATTGTTCGCTACTTCACTAAAGTTTCTGATGGTAATCAAACCCACCTTTGTACTGACAGACTACAACACTGCCAACTTTTTAATATTGATATTAAAACAATATCGAGTGCCAAGACCCATCATACGGGTCTTCATCCTGATTTTCTTTTGTCAACATAATTATAAAATGTGAAAGCTCCCTGAACAGCAGTACATAGGTAGTTCGCAGCTTGAAAATTCAAGACGATAACTAGTTTTAAGTTGTACGGTACGATCACTTCTTGATGGCGTGTAAGCACAAAGAGAGGAAGCTTTAATTACAGTATTCTGTTAGCATTCTCTATCTCAGCCGTCTGACTGGCGTGTAAACACAGAGAGAGGAAGCTTTAATTACAGTTTACTCTTAGCATTCTCTATCTCTGCCGTCTGATAAAGTTAAGGTATATTTAATAACTTCTTGTCTTAACTGCTTTATTTCCAATTGGGTTTGTAAAAGTCTGTGTGTGTATATATTTCAAATATTTACATGTGTATTGTTTATAGTGTTATTGACATTTTAGTTACAATCCTATTTTCTTTTAACACATAGATTGTTGTACATTTGTTATTCTCTCTATATAAATATTTGTTCGTTGTACATATGAGGTTATATACAATTCTAACAACAAATCTGTTTTATTATTATTATTATTTACCAATACATTTATCGCCTGGTTAACTTAAGTTTACTGATTGTCATTTGTAGAGTGTAAATGTATTTGGTTATTTTACAAATTTGTTGTGATTTCTAAAACATCATTAGGGTGGTATAAGTGTTTAATTATGAAATTCAGAAGATTTTTTAAACTTCTTTGATGTTTTAACTTGTTACAACAAAGAAGTGATCTTCTATTTTAACAGAATTAAAATTTACCACCCTAATATTTTGAAGCCATAACCTTTTATACATCTTTATGTTTTTAAAACCATTATTATTACACTTTTCAATCTGTCAATGGCTGCAGTTGTATTGGTCACAAAACATTTCAATATTTTGACATGATGACAAGGCTACCAAAATTAATAAACACTAAAACATTTATATTTATACAAAATAAACATAATAATTTAAATTAAAAACATTATTTATGTTAAATTATTTTTAATAATAAATTAAAGGACTTATTCAAAAACAAACTTTTAATTCAACTAAATATTTACCATCAACTAAATATTTAGCATACTCAACTAAATATTTAGAATACTTTTAGGCCTAACAAGAAAATTAATATTTATAATCTACATTTAGGGTTGACTTTTCAAAAAACAATATCCCTAAAGTGTTAAAACGTATAAAAATTGCTTACTAGCTAATAAAACAAAGTGACAAAAACAAAGAAATTATTTGTCAGCTAATTTCCAACGTATGTAAAGTAGGCATAAGAGTAGTTTATGAATTAAGGAATAAATAGGGTAAAAATAGAGCAAAAAATCTCAGACATACACATATCGTTGTTTGTTTAATCAGTGTTAGTAATTTTTAGTTGCAGTAACAGTATAATAACTATGCTAACATCATTCTCAAATCTGCAAAAAAAAAAAAACATGAAATAAAAAAACTCAAACAATATTTTCTAATGTTGTTTTCAAACAGCATGTATGTACTACATAGTTCATATGCAAAAAGCATCCTTCACCTTTTGCCTTCATCTCTAGCATTACAAACAAGTTGAGATGCATGCTACTATCATTTCTAGACGATTGGTGACAAATGATAACTACACTCTGTTTATGTGAGAACATACAACTACATACTTCGTTCATGTTTTTGTTATTGTTGATGATGATGATGATGATTATAATGGTGATTTATCAAACCAAATATGCAACCTTTACTCTACATACTTATTAAGGATATGACATCCTTTGTATACCTTTTTTAAACGAACTTACATAGAATCTTGATAAGACACAAATTGTACACACACACACATATTGCTTTGGTGTTTCATTTTAGTGCAGTAACATACACTAAATTTCGAAATAAAGTAAAAGATGAAAAAAGGAAACAACATGTTTGTCATTACAATATTCTCTTTAGTACTTTGGTTGCATTTTTTGTTTGGTTGGCATGAGAAAACTGTTTACAAGGTAACAATTTTTCAAAACAGCTATGTAAACTACTGTATGGTAAGCACTTCTTGTTACACGAGCTTAGTTTAAATGTATGCTGCATCTTACCCAAAAAGTCCTTTTTCCTGTCTTTATTGTACCAGCTATTTTGCATATATACAAATTTTGTGCGTCAAAACAGCAATTGCAGTAGTATTAAGGTATACAAATGAGAGAGAGAGAGACATATACATTTAAAATGTTTTAAAGAGCAACAACAACAATACTACTAGTAATATGTCTATAAGTTACAACCAACAAATTGTTTGATATTGTAATGTTCCAGGCGTTCTTGTCGGTATTAGTTTCCAGACAATGTCTGTCTTTGTTTTGCAAACACAACTGGGAGTAAGTTATTCTCATTTTATAGTATGAAAAGAAATATTTAAATGTAAATTGGCAAAAATTTCACACAAAAGAATTTTTTTACGTTTAGCTATAGTTCTTGAAAGAAATTGGTGACAATTTTGGTTAAAAAAGAATTTCTTTTGAAATTTTTTTTTATTAAGTTATTAAGAAAAATTGTATTAAAAACATTGTAGCTAAATTGAAACTGTTTAACTTGTAAAACGTACATTTTTAAAGCTCTGTGTGTTTATTATAAATAATTACTTTTTTATAAATCAAGTTAAAAGAAAATCCGGATCGAAGAAAAGTAAAAAAAAACTTTAAAAACCTAAATTATTTTTAATTTAATTGAAAAGTTAAGAACTTTTGCAATTCTCATTTAGTTAAAAATATTTTACTCATAAGTACATACATGTCACATTATCAAAATAGTCAATTGATTTTCTTTTAGGACCAGCCTATGTTAAATAACTAGTACCAGGGTTGGCAAATAGAATTTCCAAATTGTACAAATCTGCATTAAAATTATACTTTTTTGATTCCAATTGTACCAAATACAATTCAAAATTAACAGTTCATTTGTATTAGCCCATAGATTTTTCTAGTCTAATAGTTCATTTGGTCCCCAGATTGGTCAATGGACTAGACAATATATTGCCTTCATATAGACTAGACAATAGAGTATTATGTAAACTAGACAATAGACTACTCTATGGACTAGACAATTTAGATATTAGAGTAGTGTATTGACTAGTTTATAGAATAGAATATATATTAGTCCAATGACATATTCATAGAGTAGTCTGTAAACTAGATAATCGAATAGTCTAAAGACTAGACTCTAAAGACTAGATAATAGATAGGATAGTCGGTAAATAATCTAAAGACTAGTCCATAGACTAATTAATAGTAATTATACTATTTGCATTCGCAAAAAATAATTTCATTTTATTAATTAATTAACTAATTTTAGTTTTTAGACTTATCCAGCAAATGCTTGGTAATTACTTGTACTAACTCAAAACCTTACTTTTCAATGTATATTGTAAGCGAGCATAGTAACAATTTTATTAATTCCCTATTTGTAAGCCAACGTAGTAAGTTCTTACCTCCAATGACATCGCCTTTTTACTTAATACACTATGGTTTTATAAGCTTCTTAACTCATTACTTTTCAATATGACCCAGCAAAAAAAAAACTTCCAAAGAAGCGAAAAAGAAGTAAAGTTTACTCAGTGGAAGAACTGAAAAAAAAACAGCAGACGTGATGATTTTAACATAGGCGTGTCATTAGAGGAATGTCCTTTTTATTTAATTCCAAATTCACTACTTCAGAAGTCATTCTCAAGAAGTAATTTTTACGTTCTTTTTTGAAAGTTATTTGGAAGTGAAATTGTAGTATTTTAAAATACAACTGATTTGACTTAAATAATATTAACATTAATAAGGGACATTAATAGACACAAAATCCCAAAAATAGCATTTTTAACTCATAAAAATGTAAGAACAAAAAAATATATGTATCTTCAGCATTGAAAAATTATTTTTGCTTCTTCGGAAGTCATTAAACATCACTCGCTAAGAATAAGTTAAAAAAAATTACTTAGTGCTAGTGAATTGCAGACCAGAGTAAGGAGAGCGTTGAAATTGATTTCTCTCTAGAGAGATATTAATTCGAGCGAAATAAATTATTTACTTTATTGTGAATATATCTTTATTTCTCCTGAGTTTAAATATAAATCTCACTAGAAATATTTAAATTTAAAACATTTCTCTTATAAAACGAGTACAAATGAATTTATCGGGAGTTTTATAATATTGAATATAAAGTCAAAAACATATTTCTTCGCACAAGCATGCACACACACGCGCTCATCTTTTTTCGTGTTTTACGACCTCACACACATGCACATTTTTTTCATAATTTTTTTTTTTTACACCGCCGTAAAACCGGTTTTGCCGCACACATTTTTACTCAAATTCTATTCATTTTGATATCTCTCGTGAGATGAATTAAAAAATCAAAATACATAGATATCGCTCATGAAGTGAACATAAAAAATTAAGAGTTGAAATAAAGATACTTCTCGCGAGTTTAAAAATAATTCTCGTGAAAATGAGCTGTATAACGAGAGAAATAAATAAGATAATATTCACGAGTGCAAAAATTACTTACTCTGTTGCTGACAAATGTTATTATTTTAGAAGTACTTTGTTTTACTTTTGCTGGGAAGTTTTGATCAGTTTTAAGAGGGAGTTTTAATTACAGTTTCCTGTCGATACAATTTCAAATTTTAAGTTGTTTTAAGCAACTCTTATACTTTATTGGTAGTTTTATTAAAAAAGTTTTCAAAAGTTGTATCAAAACTATTTTTTTTTTGTTATAACTGTTATAAGATTTAACTTTTATAAGAATTCAAATATTAAAAAGTGTTAAAAACTAATTATAAATATATATTAAAAATAAAAAATATAAAAAATAAAAAAATCCTTACTTGATTCTGATTTAAGGCATTTGCAAGCAGATCATCACTTACCTAGAAGAGAAAAGAAATACAACATTAATTATTATATAAATTTAAAAAAATTCAAACATTAAAAGTAACTTAATGCACTTAAATTTATTCTCCTACAATTAATTAAATATCATGTTAACACAACACATCCATTTTTACATTGAAGAAAGAAGACCTAACCGAAAAAAAAAACTTTTAGACAAAACAATAGAATAAATATATTAAATGGAAAATATAAAAGAAAATTACTAACAAAACCTATTTAGTATTATGTATGTTTTTATATGCTGTACGTTTTAACATTTCTCTTTTTTTTTTTTTTGCAATACAACCCCTAATTAAAAGAGCATCAATTACCTTGAAAAGACTAAATGATAATTATGGTTTGATTTTTAATGGATGCACACAGGCACATAAAAATTATACATGCACACAATGAAATAGAGAGAGAGAGAGAGGGGGGAGGCTAAATAAAGGAAATGAGACCATATAATTATGAGTCATTCTAATAACATTAGAATGAAAATGTAAATATGTAATTAGCTTACTGTAGTTGTGTGTGTGTGTGTGTTTTAAGGAAATGTACAAATGTATTTCTTGCTAAAAAGGGTGTTCATGTCAAAGCGAAATTTGAAAATTTAGTTCTAAAAAGTTTTTTTTTTTTCAATTTATAACATAATTAGAAAAAGCTTTTCAAAGCTTTTAAGCTGAAAGTGAATATAATGAACATGCTTAATAGTTATTTTATAGTCTATATTGTAAATACAGCTGGAAAATTAAAGAAAACCTATAAAAGTCAAGGTTTTACCAGGATCTTCTAATTCCTAATAACAGCAACATAAAACAAATTGCTCAACAATAAAACTTTACCACATAAATTAAGGTAAAAATGTATTAATAAAACTGACACGTGTCCATTAAATATTAATGGAAAATACATACAACAATTTAAACAAATACTTTTCATTAGACCCAATACAAATATAAAACCCGCATGTAAACACACTTTTCAACTTGGTTCTATAGAAAGATGACATCTAGTCATCAAAATAAAATTTACATTTTTATAAACAAAACACATACATACATACATACAGAACATAAATAAAATGTATCTGCCAACTTTGTCTACTCTATCAAATATTGCTTGCCATCAAAATGACGTATAAAAAAGAAAATGATAAAGTAAATGTATAAAGAACTAACTATAGTAAAATCGAAGAAAAGTATATAAGGTCCCTTGACAATTATTTACTTTGTTCCCTTTCCCCCTTCTACACCACTTGGTTATTGTATATGTTAGCAGAAGTTTGTTGCTTTTAAAGAAAATTGCTGGTTTTTAAATAAAAACAAAACAAGGAATGAAAAAAAAACTACACTTTATCTGTAAGAAAGTAAGAACAAATGTATATGTTAAGGGAAAAACCAGTCAACCCCTTCAACTAACTCCCTTTGCTCGTATCAAATAAAAAGCCAGTATAACAGTTATAAACTTATTCATCCATCCATTTATAAATAAATATTAACAAAGTAAGATGACAAAAACAAAATATAGAAAAAAAACCCTTTTTATTCCTTCTAACACTCTAAAATACAAATTGTATGCACTCAACTCAACTTAGCTCAGCTGAGCTCATATTTTATTAAGTTGTATAGGGATTTGTTTTATCATTACGGCTTGTCCCACAATGTTTCTAGGAATAATCATAATAAAAAAAAACTGCAAAAGTAAATATTGGTAATTTTTTATGATTGAACAAGGATTATCCTTTTTTACAGAAACACACACACCTTTTTCTTTAGCTTAAATATTATTTTGATTGGATAAAACCTAATACTATTGCATACATTTAGGAGGGATATGTTGAATCTGTTAGCAAAAAAGTAACAAATTAGTTGTAATGTATTTGTTTTTTGCTTCGAAAACAAGATAAATAATAACATTTGAAAAGGATAATAGATAACAAAATTTAAAGGTTAAAAAGCAAGAATATGTTTTATAAACTGGAAAAAATAAACAATTTATTAAAAAAGGTTTGTTAGAAAATATGCTATACTTTTGTTTGTTAATAAAACTAACATTAATTTAATCGAGTAGATTTATTTGATGTAAACAGTAGGATTTACATAGATGTTTTTATGCAAATAAGGAAATCTGTTTATTATTAATTGACTAGAAACTGATAACAAAAGCTTTAAGAATTTTCAGTATTTATGGATTATTGATGAAGTTTTCCACTAAAAACTTTACACACTAGTGGTATGGATTGACATAGAAGGTTCCCACAATAACGGACAAACTGATACTCTTATTTAATCCTTACCCCCATTTCCTGATGGCCAGGCGTTTCGTAACTGGAACAACTTCATGCTAAGAAACAGATGAATAAGCTGCGAGATGTACGGTATAACAAATTGGTATTCTGGGGTTCACCATGGGGTAGCATTTTCTCCTCTAACTCTGGATAACCACGATTATTAGCCTCTTAACGAATGGACTAGGTCCTGTCTGCTGTACAGACGATGTCGTTATACTTCTAAGGGCAGGGAACGAAATTACTTGTAAAAAAGAAGCCCAGACCACGGCTTTAAGCTGGGCTCAACTTAGATGGTTATATATTAAGCCGGCAAAGACGAAAATATGTTCAATACTGTTTCCAAGGCACGAATATCGAAGTGCTTTACGTAAACACCTGTCTTGACGGCCTTATTTCACGGTGGTCTTTTTCAACCACTGGGTGAGCTTTTGCAACGACTCACCACGGCTCCATTGTGCTTCTCACATGCCGGTGGCAATTTACGTATATGGAACTTCCGGTCCAGTATGCGTGAATTTTGCTCGAGCTATCTAATCTCTTGCCATATTGGTCCCGTTGGGGAATGACTGGTGTCATGAGCAAGCTAAATCACTGGTTAGAGTCGATAGGAGGGGCGGACACAACATCAGGTGAAAACACCCTATTGATGGTATAAAGAATGTCAATGTCGCCACAAACATTAGAGTCGATAGAAGGGGACGGACCCAACAATGTCCCCACAACATTCTCATCATCTAAAGACTCACCCCAGTGCATTACTGGACCTCTTAATGTAGCCAAACACACTACTGAGATGGCTTCTGTTGATTCGGCACCTAGCCAGACTTATTTCAGTGGCCACAAGGACCTACTGTGATAAGTTGAGCATGTTTAGAGTAAACTCCAACACACTCAACCATAAAGGAAAATCACTGATAAATTAAAGATTAAGGTATTAACAACACCGCAATCTCTTACTCCGTTTCGTCAAACCTTAGCTCAGCACACCATCTGCAACCATCACTCCGTCCGACTAAACTTGGATAAAACTCAGAATCCCTCTAATCCATCAGATATCTGATGGTTCATAGAACACAAACGCATACCCAATTTTTGCATTATCAGCTCAAATCCAACATTTTATTAATCCACAGCCTTCCTTTGTGGTTTGTACCGAAACAGAAACTTATCCCGAATTGGGAATTTGGATTTAATCCACAGCCACTACGTGGATCCTGAAGGAAAATCAACCATCAGACCAGTCGGGACAAGTGTTATGGGCTTATGTGGTGCTCTGGTTAGACCACATGTCAAATCATACCAAGGACTAGACGAGGAGTGAAGTGACATCACCAGTTTATAGTCCCGGCAGACTAGAGATACTGGTAGCACCTCCTTACCCCGGGATTACAATACACAAAGATGAGGGTGGGATGTTTCCAAGGCAATATGACCGACAGGTGTAAACCTTGACGGTCAATTAAAATGGAGACAGCACAGAAAGCATCAACAAGGCAGTGCTGGTGATGGGCACTATGTAGGAGAGTATTTTGTCTTACTATGACACACAAGCTTTATAAAAGCGAGATTACACCAACTCCAGCTCATGCTTCAATAATCTAGTGACAAAAAGTGTAAAAATACCCCTTCGTAGAAAGTACAGCGTACATGCAGCGGGTGTATAAGTGGGTCCATGAATGAAATTTAATTATTTTCTATTTGTAACATCTCTATTTAATAAAACCTAACATAATTTACAGCATTTTACAACATTTTACGAATTGTATTCATATCTCTGCGGAACTACATAAATTTAATACTAAATGACTTTCAACACTTGTTTAAGAAAATTAATTTTAATTTACATTTATTCACTTAAACTACCCTAGAAACGACAAACAAATATTCTACATATTCCCAAAAGCTAAAGAGAATATATTAAAAGTTGAAAAAAGAAAAGAAACAAACAGAAATGTTACTGGAAAAAGTCTTGTTGAAAACCGCCAAAACCACATTGCAAATTAGTTTATGTTCTCAACAGCAATTTCAAACTCCTAGATGTATGCTACATTAAAACATACACATAAACAAAAAGTAACTAATACTTACACTTACAAACATAAAGAGAAATAACAACCCTACAAACATTTTCTATTGCGGAAGTTACCCGTGTGAAACTTCCAAACGTGCTAAAAGCTCGCCAGCGATGTTGCGGAAGTATAAGAATTCTTGTCACCAGTCGGGAAGAACTGATGCCGAGCTGGGGAACGTCTAATAGTAACTTGGAAGATACTTCTGGAAGACCCGCAGAAGAAACTTCTAGATGACTCTTGGAAGTAAGGTATTGCCAAAGACTCTTCTAGATGTGACTAGGAAGTCACTTCTTGAAGTGACTACCTAGTATCCTCTAGAAGTGTTCCTATCTTATCTTCTAGAAGATGAGTTTTCTCTTCTTCTAGAAGATGAGTTTTCTCTTCTTCTAGAAGAAGAGTATTCTCTTCTTCTTGAAGATGAGTATTCTCTTCTTCTAGAAGATGAGTATTCTCGTCTTCTAGAAGATGAGTTTTCTCTTCTTCTATTTGTATACTCACCAAAATAAAATCTATAAAAATAAATCTAAATAAAATGAAATTTTATAGTTTTTATTGAATTAATTGAAATTAAAATAGTAGAAAATATAATTGATTTAACAACTAATCTAAAAAAAGTAATATATGTACATTA